CCTATTTTCTTTTTGTGCTCTCAGGTATTACACTACTTAGTGCCCTGGAACCACAAACATCTCTGGAGCGTGGCAAAGAACAGCTTCAGAGTACAATGGTCCTAAAGCAAGCCCAGTGAACTCAAACAACCTTTATCTGCCTTTTGAGATCTCTGAAGTACAAGATCAAACTTAAACCTTAACTCTTCATGTGGAACAGGCAGGTAGTACCAGGATGTCCTGGTAACCCTGTGTCCCTTTCTGAGAAAGAAAGTATTTTTTCACTTCTTTTTTTCAGTTGAATCCCCAAAAAAACAGGGAAGAATGGAGACATAGCTGAATTAGTTAAAGCAACTAAAACAAACTAAATCAGTCACCTCAGAACTGAAAATTTCAGGGATTAGAGAAAACAAGATAGGTTCAAGAGAGAAAGCAGAAAGACCTGGAGCTATGCAAATTAGAGCACTGCTCTGAACAAAGTGTTAAGACTGGTGTCAAGATGCCAAAATGTAAGACTAAGAGGACATGTCACAAGGGACGCTGGCCCTGTACTCACCACTTCTCTTGTCATGACTCAGGAGACAGATTACATCATTTGTAGGGCCATGGTCCTTCGCATTACACAATCTGACTTTAGGAACCAAATACTTGCTAGAAAAACAATCTCTACAGAATGTCTCTAGCCCTCATTGGTAAAATGAGGAAAAAGAAAGCAATTCCAAATGACCAACACCTTTTCAGATGCCTCCACCTGGCTTCAGCCATAACTCCAGGAGACCCCAGTTCTCCTGTATACCCTGTGTTATGTCCGTCAGCTCCATGGAGTATCTCAGACAGCCTTGGACACCTAAAATACCACTTATACCGCTGTCAGGCGCCTAAACTCCCCAGATGTTCCCAGAGAATATATCTTATTTCCCTAAAAAGCTGTTTGCCTATCCACCCCTATCAGGAGAATAATGAGGGCATCAATGTGAACCTCTGGTGAGCTGCTATTTAACAGTTCATAAAAAGGAAACTCATAGACTCTCTTCGAAAAACTATTGAGCATAGAGTATCCTCTCATTTGGAGCTGGGAAAACTATGGTATATGGAAAAACTAGAAAAAAAATCAAATTAATCCATTCCAAGATACTTAGGAATATGGAAAATGTAAGAAATGTCACCAAACATCTTCAAGGATATCTTTTCCCTTCACTGAAAAAGTACAGAAGTGAATTATATTCTTATCAGGAGGGAGAAAATACAGAAGTCACTCTCCAGTTTAAAACACTAGACGAGATTCAAATGTCTTTGTCTTCACAATGTATAAAACCAAAGCAGACTCAGAAAAGTTAACCTTCATCATACTAAGACAACAAAACGAAGGTAGCTACAGGAAATTATAGCCTTGCTCTGCTTGATCTTGGCAAACTTACAAAAAAATACGTGATTTAGCAAATGTAAAGAAGGGATAATAATGGGAATTTCTTGCAAGACCTATATTTGACCCCCTTGTAATGAAAGTAACATTCAAATCAGGTCCACATTTCCATTCCAACATCTCTATGACTTAGATGAGAAAATACAAAGAAACCAATTCATTTTTGTTCATTTTTCTATCCACAATAAGTGACAACTTCGTGAACATAAGAGGACATGGAATACTCAAGATACGGTGAAGACCACTAGTGCTTTCAACTACCTGAAGTGGGTAGTCCCTGTCTGCTTCAGGGAAGACAAAAACATTTTAAAATTCCATAGCATTAACCAAATATGGAGAATCTGCTCAAGTAACTCAGAGAAACAGATGTATACAGCGTATAACTTAACTATAGGAAAACAACTGAAAAGATATGGATGTTCCTAATTATCAAGAGGATGGGCTTCTATCATTTCTACAATAATTTTCACCATTATCAGAATCAGTCAGGCCCCAAACAACTGTGGATTATTCCATATCTATAAAATAAATGTGAACATAGCAGACAATATGGTTATCTTAAGACAACTTAAAAATATTACAAATTAATATTTTCATCTTCTCATTTTTTGTCCTATTTTCCTATTGTTTTAACCTTGAAATTGAATATAGCAAATACTGCACTGTAGTGGAGCACAAGTCTGCACAAGTAATCACTGCCATTTTTTATTTTAAAACTTTCTTTTGTTGTAAATTATCTTATTAAGACTTCGATTGATCTTCCTCAAATTTAGACAACTAAATGTCAGATGTCTTAAGACTAAGCTGGCTGCCCTGGGTTACTTTTACGATCAATAAAGAGAGTGATTCACAGGACCGATGTAACCATCATATAAATCACCTTCTAAAGGTGTTTATTGCTCCACAGTGATTACAAAAGTTGCTTACATGCAGTTTTAACAGTTACGCTGGACAAAATACTATATAGATTTTGCTCAAAATTTCTATTGCACAGATAAAGACTGTGGCCTATACCTCCAGCTGGAATAAAGGAGCGGAATTCCACCAAAGTCAATCCCACTAAACCAGTTTGCAGTGTTGAGAATCCAACCAGCATGAGCACATGTAGTACTGGAAAAAACAGTTTTAACTAAAATAAAGCCTGTGTCTGTTTCCATGAACAAGTTCATTTCATGAACATCAATGTTAAATTATGATAAGGTCTAGATGGTAAGAAAGAAGGGAATACTAGAGCCTTCTTCCTGCAGGTTCTCAGACAGTTTCCCAACTTGGGCTAGACCAGATTTACTGATAAAATATTAAATGCACTTATGGTTTTATATACCTTGCTGTGAACTGGAGCAAGATCTGAAGAAATACATGCTACAGTTATAAGGAATAATTAAAATGATGACACCAGTGCCAGAAAAGTTGCTATACAAAGAGAAAACACCTTCCCATGTAATAGGCTACAAAATAAGCAATTATTCTGGAGTAATGGCAAATGGTAAATGGAAAGAGCCCTAAAATATATATAGCTTTTTTAAAAAATACTGGATATAGAAGATGAGGTTACCTCAGAAATGGCAGAACATGGAGTTCTATCATATATAGAACATCAAGCCAATCTCCAGCATTTTCCATGGATATCGGCATGCAAAATAACATGCAAAATCTGCATACACTGTATTTTAACATTTATATTAGTATCCTACAGCCATATTTAGGAAAAATCCATAGTCACTGAGAACTGCCTATCTCTTCCTTGTCCAATAAACATATTGATTCATAGTAAGCGCTCATTCAACCTTTGTACAAATCTGTGTTAAAAATGGTTTACACATATAAATATAAAAGGCACAAACTAAGCCATTACAGTCCCATTTTGATCTCAATCTACTTTGATACTAATAAAAACCGAAGAGTAAACCTTGGTTGATATATTATTAATACATACAAGTGAGATCAGACATAGGCCCATTACAGGATCAAACACAATGCTCCTCTGTGAAATAATTTCGTACCTCTGCAGTTTAATAAGAAACATCAAGTTAAATCCTAAACCCTAATCCTTACCTCCCCATTGAAATACACCACTTTAAGGAGTTGTACAACCCAAATCAAAACAGATATTAATGATTCATTAAGAATTAAACACAAATTGCTCATTTATGAAGTTATTAAACTAACCCAATAATTAAGGATCATAAATGAATAGTGATAATGAATAATCTGATTAAAGTATCCAGAAAACTCCAAATTATTATACAGTTTGTAAATTAAATATATAAATATGATAAACCATGACAAATTACACTCACAAATCACATTCTCACACAATCCAATCAACGTTCTGGAACCAACCATTTAAACCACACAATTCAAATTTTTATTTCAACTTGCCAAGTTGGGGTATTTTCCAAAAAATAAGCACTTAGATGAACTTTTAAAAATAGAGGGTTTAGCAGAAAGAAAAAAAAAATTTATTATGTAGGCCAAAAGAAATCTGCAGTGGTGTATATCTCATTTAGGAAAACAAAATATACTGACTATAAATTTAAAAGATAATAATATTTTCAAAATTGTAGTAACTGCTTTCAAAATAACTTCAGTGTCAATATATGTTCAAATATTAGTCCAAATATTTCTATTTGTAAATGCATTGCAAGGACCCACATGTTGATCGTGTTTAAAACCTGAGAAATCATTTCTGAAATTCTGTAAGTACTCCGGAGAGAAATATGCTTACTCTAATGTTCAGAGCTTGTTTGCACTTAGAGGCACCACGATAAATGTTTTCTATTGTTTTCTGATTTTTAATAGGGACACATTAAAAATGTGTTTTGAAATGTTGTGATTAAAGCAAATAGCATATGCTTTGAGACTACGCACTCTTTCTAAGAAATATAGGAAATTCAGTTCAGAATATGCACCCAGACGGACAAACTTACTACACTGTTGTGATGACAAACTTACACCCAGCACATCTCTCTGTTCCCCGATCCCATCACATGTTATTGCCTGTGCAGGAATGACCGACACACAACCTAACCACACAGAAAGCAAAACTGAACTCCTGCAAACATCTCCTTTCCTCACGAGTACCAATTTATAATCTATTGCGGCTTATCTATTCTAACACATAGCTGTTGAATATATTTTTTAATGATTTAGCAAAACAGGGTTGCTATTTTAATAATATCATCTGATGGAGACACTTTCTTCAAAAATCACTAACCATATTAAAAGGTTTCAGTGCATCAAATAGTAATCACAACAGCATCTTACCCTCTATTTAACTATAGTATCTTTCAGAAGGTTCACTGATGTATTAAAAATCTGACATATCTTGCTATGAAACCAATTTAGTGTAATATTAAGTAACCCAAGTTCTTTAAGATAATCAAAAAGGCCAGTTACTTCTAGTAGACTAGGAATCAAAATGCCCTGATGTACAGTTAAAATACACACACAGTCCTATTAAAATGCTTTTCATTAACATTGTTTCTTCCTTTCCTTCAGCATATAAGAATTAGGGAAATGTCCTTCTGCAGCATGCCAGAAATTACATATCTTACAGGCTGAACAATCTATTCTTTAAGGATAGTGTAATACTTACTATAAGTGAAGACGATCCATACAAATTTATGCTTTACAGTTACTCTCTGAAATAATAATGCTGATTGTCACAGCAGAAGTAGTATAATCCGACCACATCCAGGCCTAATAGGCAGTGTGCTAGTATTTGTTCCTAGGAAATTAGAAATAAGGTACCTGTCTCACTGAAAATCCAGGCACACTTGGAGAAAACAAACAATGGATTTTTAGGTCCTTAATTTTATTGAAATGATAAGACATCCACGCTTCAGTCGTCACAGATTTTTTTTTTTTTAATCCACGTATGAGAAAAGAGCAGATTTTTTTCACAATTTACAGCAAACAGGTACTGTGACTACAAACTGAAGTTTCTATATCCAGTGTCATCAGTTCAAATCCAGCTCTGTCGTCTTCAAACATTCCTCACTTGGCAGAAGTCAATATTTTTCCATCTCTTACTTTCTCCAAAAGTAGAAAATTCAGCAATTTCACATGCTCTATAGTAATATGCACTGGAAGGAACCTTTTAGAGCAGTAGGAAAATAACCACACTCTCGTTTCTTTTTTTTTTGCCCTTCAGGCGTAGCCTGGGTGTCTTCGGCTTGCCCTGCTGGTCTCCAGTGTTGTCACTAATAGCTGGGAGATGGAGTTAGGACAGCAGGAAGCAGGAAAAATAAATATTGTTGCTTTAAGAACATACTTACTTTGATATTAAGATGCCACAACTTTCTCTCTACTCTTACTTCGTTGCTGGGTCAGATGAAATCTTTAAGGAGGTTCCATTAAAAGTTCGTATCTGTAGCATATATGAGAGAAACGCTGAAGTTCCCGTTCTGAACGTATTCCGAAGGAGGTCACATTTGGTTTTAAAGCACATTCGTGTCGATGAAAACTTTTTTGTTGTTGCCAAAAATGAAAATTCTCCCATTTATTTAGGTATTCCCTCTGTAATCCTCCAAGTTACTCGGCTCCCTTACAGTTTAACCAGACATACAAAAAAAATCAAATATCGTATTTCCCATATGTATAAACTGACATTGTGAAGGCTTCATTAAAGAAGTCTTTTATTTCTCTTATCACTGGTAACTGAACGTCATTTAATGTACCACCACTTTCAAACAGCCCAAGAGACTTAAAAAGCTATCTAAGTTTGAAAACCAAAAAAGTTCTGAGTTTTTCTGTACCCCAGGACGGTTTTCTTTCCTGAAGCTCAAGCCGAGAAAGCAGACAAAAGAAGCTGATTTGACTGAGCCGTGCCAAGTCTTGCCTTTTTTTCTTTCCTCGGCTCTCTCGCTCGCTCTCTCTCTCGCTCGCTCGCTCCCAGCATGGCAACCTTCCCGAGCAGTCTTGGCGGAGCTCCAGCCTGTGCCAGTCTGTCTGAGTTCTTGTTTTCCAAAAGATGCTCTTTGCGAATCAATTAATATCTTTAAAAACAGGAAACTGTGGGTCAGTAACCAAATCTTGGCACCAACAACCGCTTCTTCTGCCAAATCGGCTTTATAGATTTCATGGTTTCCTACCTTTTACAATGGATATAACATTTTTGCTCACTGATCGTGGAGCACTGGAAGCCATTCACTGTTCACAGTGATAAGAAATCTGTTCTCTAAAAATGTCCGCATGCGACACATGAACAACCTGCAGTAAATCAAGATTCTTTTGAAGGCGGGCGTATGTGCAATTTTAATAAGCACCAAATACTCCTTAAAATAATATGTTTTCCTTCTCTCCTCCTGAGAATCATGGGAAGATGCCAGAAGCAGGAGACGTATAGATTTGAATTAAGATCACATTCGAAAGTCACGCAGATTTTAACTTTCTAAACTCCAGCTTGAAAGCTACAAGTTCTTATCATTTCCACCATTATTAAAAATCAGCTGAAAATTAATAAGAAATCTGATCCCAGCTAATACACAAAAAAATCTTCAGCAATCTCCACAGTTGCCAATGATGTCATCTGTTAATTAAAAAGCACAAGTTCTCGTTGTGGCATTCATAGGAGAAATGGCTCAGCATTAACAGCTTTGGTGGAAAATTTTTTGACGTGTTGCAAGACTTTAAGGATAGAAAATTATGTTTTGGAACTTCATTCAAGATATTCTAAACGACAAGAATTCATATGAGGAGAATGACAGGAGTAAACTTGCTTTTATCTTCAAGCTATTTGCCAAGGCAAAATGCCAACTTTTTAAAACATATGCATTACATTAATGAGGAAAATAGATTAATCGGGAAAAAAACCCACTTCCCTAAGTGTATAATTTTATAAGCTTATGGATACTACTGTTTTCTTGATGAGAGATTCAACATAGAGCCCCAAAGGTTTTGAGACTAAGTTGTTATTTGGGACTTAGTGATACTGTCTTCTTCTTTACCTTCCCTTCAGGGATAAAGTTCACTTGGCAAAAAAAAAGAGGCAAAATATTCTTCCTCAGTCGAACACAGGAGCATGCTTTGTTTCTCAGCCTAAGAAAGCCTTGGAGTTGTCCAAGTGTTACTTTAAGATCCACATTTGTCAAGTCTTCGGAGAGCAGACTAATGCCCAATGAGACGGCTGGGTGGGATTATCTGGCAAATTGTAAATCATTTAATTTGTATCTGTCCTGTCCCATCTTTGCGTCACATACACCTGATAGACCTGTCAGGCAAGTCAGCTGCTAAACCAATACTTCTCCTTATAAATTTATCAAAAAAATTTTGTTTCCCTTGCTCTCCCCATCCATTTGCGTAGCCCATAACCCAGGCTCTTCAAGCTTCACCTCCAAGGAATATAATGGGAGCTCACACACCCGGAGCATACTGGGGTACCAACATGCAGGTATCTAAATTTCAGGTCCCAAACCAGCACCAAATACTACATTAGAGCTACTTAATCAAGAAGAACAGAAGAAGGGGGGGATATAAATTGTTCTATGTAACTAGCATGAACAGGACAAGAAATGAAAAAATTAAACCAAAACAATAAAGATTTAGCTTAAGCCTTAAGAAAAAACTTTCTAAAGGTAACAACTGCTACATTCTATGAGCGATTGTGTAATCTCAACTACTGATTTTTTTTTAAAATTAGGTTAATTATCTGACCTTAAGACAGATGGATAAATTAGACATCCTCCCAAGGTTCCCCTTGCCCCATTTCCAATGACTGCAGCAGATCTACCCATGTTTGTCCCAATGGCTGCTCAACTCCAGAAGAAGCATCATTAACTTTAAAATCACATTTATGCCTCAAAATATTGCACATCCTATCATTTCAATTAGCACCTAGCACCATTATGACAGGCTAACTCAGGAAAAAAATACCCCTATGTATATTTTTTCTATTTCTTTTCTTTGTGCATTTGACAGAAAACTCTAATATGTCAGTTTGCCTTTACTGAAAGACCATCAGGCATCAACACGGGAACAAAAAGATCTCATAGAAATTACTGTCAGTAGAATTACCTCTGAATGGCTACACCACTTCAGCAATCACTATTAGAAACTCATTTTTTAATTAGTTTTCCTTCAAAAGGTATATGTATTGACAACAGAGTACTTTAGCTAGCTACATTCCAAAAAATATATGTAATTCCAATGGAGATGAAAGATTTTAACTATTCTTTCATTACTCTTACTGAAAGTGAGGAAGAAAAGCCAAATATATTCCCTAACAGCCAAACTCTTTCCTGAAAAGAGCCTTGCTAATAAGATGAAGAGCCTTATTTTCTCTCTCTATACACACTCTTCCAAATACAGTGGATCTCATTTGCAGAAATGACTACCCTCTTCCTGTCTTAAAGCATTTTTTTCAAACATGTAGTTTACTGTAGCTCTCCTAATTCCCTCTCTCTTCTCTTAAATACTCTGTAATTGTAGTTCTGCTCCACTCCACTGAAATTGCTTACACCACTCTCAGTGATGCCTTCCAAGATCTTCCTCCAATTTCAACTGTCAAAATCTTTCAATGCAACCAATTTCACCTCCTTCCCATAAATAAGTTTCGAGCCCAGATAAATCTCATGTCCCACTTAATCCAATATTGTCCAGATAGGAAGAAAACACAAAACTTTCTCCACACCTTGTGTTTCAGAATGTGGCCTTTTCCATGGGAGGCTGCAATGACCCAGTACTCAAATACAGGTTCCTTGACCCATTCCAATGACATCAGGCTCTATTAGTAACTCTATCAAGTACTTTTTGTCTCTAACATTTTTCTTGTGGACATTCTCCTATCTCCATTCTCCTCCTGATATTTCTTTGAAGCTATTATCTTCCAGGGCACAAAATATAGGAAGAGTTCAATTCCTCATATTTATCTCTAATTACTCTCTTATGCATCTCTAGTACAAATTTGACCATCTTCACTGTTGACAGGTTCACCATTACAGAGCAACATGTAGGTCTGTTCTTCGACACTATCCACATTCCCATGCTCATAGAAAAATCCACAGATTTATTCTTTTGCAGTATCTTAGATATCACTTTGATCTTTCTTTTATGAATTAGGAAAAAAAAAATATTTATCTGTGCCTTGGTCATCACTCACTTCAAATTCTTTTTTCCATCTTTTATATATTTCACCTTGATGCCTCAACAATTTGTTCATTTAAAATTCTCCTGACAAAAGCCACTGCTATCTTCTTATTCTGCCTTTACTCAAAATTCCTTTATTCATATATTATTCCATGTCACTTAAATGCACCTGTGTCTCACAAAAGTAATATACCTGGATACCTGTCCTAGTATACCTGTCAAATGAGCATGATTTCCCACCTCACAAGTGGAAAACTTAGAAGTAACTCATTTATATGAGCTGTTATATTTGGAATCTAATACAGAAATCACCCACAAGACTGGCTCTCCTTCCACATCTAACCACAGCTTATTTTCTTCGCTTGCAGAGAAGGCAAATCTACCAGGCAAGTTTTAGGGGAAGAATTAACATGAGAGAATGATTTACAAAATGAAAAAACACTTACAGGTCTACATTTTCGCATGAAACACAATAAATGCATGCCTAAATATAGATAATATAAACTAAAAATGTTAACGAGTTTTTGTACACATAAAAGGGCCTTTATCCATTGGAAAACTTTCCAAGACATTTTAACCCCAAATAGCTACTCTAATGTCAGGTCTACCTCTCATTTCCCTTTTTGTCTTCCCTGACAGAATACCCAAATGCTATGGATCAATGACAGCTGTGTAACACTTCATCCTCATCACCTGATAGCAGAATATTGCTCAGAAGCAGCACGTACATGATATTCTGCAAAGCATTTTATTCTTAAGAATAAATACATTCTTAACATGGCATGTTTGTCATGTCAGAGCTAACTCTATTAGCCTTTCTGCTATCCCTCTCCTGGTATGATTTCTGGGCATTCCCATTAGAGATAAGTGAAGCCAGTTCCTCTGAGAACAAGCCAGAGGTTTTTTAGGAGTCTAATTTTGGACTCGGAGGTTTTATTGATTTATTATTAAAGGGTGAAAGTACATTACATGACAGAAAAAAGGCTACTTTTACCTGGGCTGTTCTTACGGAGAGATGATGACAACGAATTGCCTAATGACTCTCCACTTTTCTGGTTTTCATTTATTATTAAATAGCCAAACACTGGTGAAGCTCTAAGAATCCATAACTGAGTGAATGAAACCATGACATAGAGACCAATATAAAAGGAGAATGATGCGACTTTGAGTAACCAGGTCTGGTGGGAGGTGTCCCTGCCCATGGCAGGGGGGTCAGAACTGGATGATCTTTAAGGTCCCTTCCAACCCAAACCATTCTATGATTCTATGATACAAAATATGGTTGAAAAAGTAAAAAAAAGAAATATTGCAGCCACATAGAAGAAGCATACAACAGCTGAAGCATACATTCCCAAATTCAACCACAAAAAATTGAAAAAATACACAAGAAAACAAGAACAAAGGCCTATAAATGCATGAAGAATCTGAACATGAAGGACTAGATCTGCAAGACCCTTCTGCATGTACCTCAGGTCCCCCAGACTCCCAAGGTGACCAATCAATAGACTGATGAGACATCCCTAGCTGGGACCACCTCCAATAGCTTGTTTTGCACAGTTGTGTATACACCCAATTATCTTTGCTACAGGACGGACTGTCTATTCCTTGGCAGCTGACCACTTACCACCTTCATTTATCAGTTATCATTTATCATTTTGACAACATAACATATGCCTGACTATAGGAACCACCTACAATAGCTTGTTTTGCACAGTTGTGTATGCACCCAATTAACTTTGCTACAGGACGGACTGTCTATTCCTTGGCAGCTGACCACTTACCACCTTCATTTATCAGTTATCATTTATCATTTTGACAACATAACATATGCCTGACTATGGCCTTTTCCGTGGGAGACTGCTATAGTCGAGCGATGCTGTGGAAAAGGATTAGCACCAGAAATGGATTGTTCCAGTTGAATCCAGTTGAAAATCAAATCTGCATGCCTGAACCATGCCGCAGTGCGGTGGGTTTAGGGCTGGCACACTGTCACGCCGTTAAGCGGAGTTCTCCAGCTTTGCAAGACAAACAAATTGCAAGGCCAAACTCTATGGGAA